TTTTGGATAAAGTTTATGTTTTTTTCCATTGTTTAAGCACTGCTTCCAGCCAAGAGTGATACCATATATGCCCCATAGCTGCAGAAAAGGCTGACATTGTTATCTTTTTACAAAAACCAGCTGAACATGAGAGGTTTTTGGACAAATTTTGTGTTCTCCATTCTTTGAGCACCGTTTAAGCGCCGGCACCGTTTCAAAAGTACCGGTTTGGCACCGGTATCGGATAAAACCTAAACGATACCCATCCCTAATTTTGACAGACAGCAAACTGTGATGAAGAAAAAATAAGTATAATAAGTATTTTGTACAGACAAAAGTAATCTGAGTATTTTATTGACTGCATGTATCCATTGTGTTGTCATAGATGGTATTTTGTCCCTGTTAGTCTACAACTTGGGAAACACTATGAATGCTGTGATGCAAAAGTAAGAGTGTGATCAAAAAGTTCCAGAGACTGACCTCTAAAAATCGGGCCCCTGATTTAAAGTCCCAGCAAACATTTTGACATTCAATAACCATCAGGACGTGTTCTCTCTACGTCTCGTCATGGTTGGAAGAAAGCTCCAGAATAAACGTTGTTGCGATGTCGGAGATAAAAACTCACTGTCAGTTTGAGGTGTTTATTTAATATTTAATGTCTGTAGTTCAGTTTCTGCAGATGTTCCAGGGACTTAACATCAGGGTTTCAAACATCTTTCCTGGGTTTGACTGTTCAAGATCATCGTCTTGTGAACCTCTGGATGACTTTCAGTACAACATCTATTTTTAGATCTCTCATTCTGTCCCGTTGTACCTCTATGATGCATTCCAACAGTCTGACTCCTCTCCTCTGGACAAATTCTGTTGCTCAGGTTTGGTTGTAGCCGAAATCTCAGCTCTCATCACTACGAGCTTCCTTACACAATTCAGGTCAGTTTCTATGCAGGTTTTCACAGTAAAATCACAGAGTGCACACTAGAGAGCTTGGATTATACTCTGTTGTGGACACGTACAGCTGGAGACTCGATGGCCGAGTGATCATTCCTCAGTAATACTTCTTTTAGGTTCGGTGCCTGGGCACATTTGTAGTTGGTGCGCGTTTTTTTGCATGGGCACAAAAATCAGGCAGGTATGTTTCACGTCCGCTCAGACTCTCGTCAATGGACAGTGAGTGAGTCACGTCACAGGGACCCAAGCGAACCGCAAATGTGGAAACTATAATGTCAGAGACGTCCTGGAAGAGATCTAAAAATAGCAGCGGTGCTGGGAGCTTCTTGGGCATTCCTGAGAGGATGACTTTGAAGAGGAGATTGCCAAATTTAAATCAGGGAAGGGTTTCGCTTGTGATGGACCTGCTGTCTGAACTCTTTAATCACACTTCATATCTATTTTTTACCCTTTCTGTGTAAATTCTCCATGTTAAACATGGTCTATGTTAAATGTGCAGTTTATGTATAAGAAGAGAATAATTCAGTATTTCTCACTGTCAGCAGTGTCACAGTTGTTGTCTTAGTGCAGCAACTTCCCACTATAAATAAAAGAGTGAGAGACACTGAGCGACAAAGAGAGGCACAGAGAGAGAGAGCGAGAAAGAAGTTCAAACAGCCTCCGGACAAATAATCAGCCGTGGCTTTTGAACCTATACACACACACATACACACACATACACACACACACACACACTCAGAGATGTGTATGTTTAGACGCTCACACTTTCTTCCAGTGTTCTGGGCAAGTGGCACACAAAGTTTATGATGCACACCATACATATGCATGCACTGAGTCGGAAATCGACCCACTCCCCCGTCTCTCTCACTCCGAGTGTTTTCTGCCTAGCCGTCTTCATAAATGACACTGACGTTTTTATCTGACTGTAGTGGCCTGAAGGGGAACGAGAGGTAGAAATCTTGAGTCACCGAACTAACCAAGCAAAGATGAGACAAGAAACAGAGTTTTATTAACACAATCGGAAATGGAGAAAGAGAGAGACATGCTTAAAGCTTCAGGATTTCATTTTTGAGCACTAGAGGGCAGAAAAGCATCAGAAGATGATATAAAGTAATCAAAAGAAAGTTTTAGCTTCTTTAGATTTTTTTATTTGCAAATTACTTAGTTATCTCTGCTGTGTTGCTTTATCATTATTTTGAAAGAAACTGCTTGAATAAAA